AATATATATATATATATTTAACATCAGTTACATAAAATAATTTAAACTATCTTTAGAAAGTAGTTTCTGATCCTGATCAAATGACAAGTGGCTGTTGAAATAAAATATTACACCTGCTTAAACATAAACCAGTATTGAAAACAATCCTTGACCAGAAAGTCTACTCTACAGAAGCTATTCACATCAACTAAACATTCCGAAGAAACAAAAAGTCCATAAATAGGAAGTACTTGTTGATTTAGCATACAGTTTTGTTCATCAAATCCAAGGTTCCATTAAATCGCAGTTGTTTCTAAAATCTATAATTATCTCACGACTCTTTAGGTTTTTTTAAGTAATGTTTCCCACTATCCAAGAAAATGTAAGTGAATAACCAAAGAATCTTAGTTTTATACCTCAAATACAAGCAGTTATTTTGTGCTAAATTCTTGTCCAAAATTCTAAGTAAAAAAAACAAAAAACTAACCCACAACAATATTAACTATCTAAATTAAGATACCCAACAATAATACATACTGATTTGGAAAAATGATGTCAGGCCTTACCTCCTCCTGGTAGGCATCATTGTGATGGTGTAACAACTCTCTCATAGTCTCCATGAATTCCTGCAGTCGAACCTGCAAGCCATGTACCAGGGCTATTTTAGGACTAGATTCATCCAAGACATTCAATTCCCACATGATGCCCATGGAACAACAAGATATGGCATATCGAACAGCCTGTTGATAAAATATATATCATTTGTTTTAACAGATGGTGATGACAGCAAAACTCCAAACATGTATCTATATACTCTTTGGCTTATTTTCAATACAACTAAATACAGAAATGAAAATCATATCTTTAAAATTTTCAAACAACTAGTAAAACATTAGTCTGAAAGTTGCATGACTGTACAATCTGTTCGTTTGTTTGTAATTAAGCACAAAGCTAGACAATGGGCTATCTGTGCACTGCTTACCACAGGTATTGTAGCGCTTAATTACAAACTAACAAACGGATTGTACAGTCGCCTCCCAGTGGCACAGCGGTACGCCTGCGGACTTACAACGCTAGAATCCAGGGTTCGTAACAAACGGATTGTACAGTCGCCTCCCCCAGTGGCACAGCGGTACGCCTGCGGACTTACAACGCTAGAATCTAGGGTTCGATACCTGTGGTAGGCAGTGCACAGATATCCTATTGTGTAGTTGTTTGTAATTAAGCACAAAGCTACACAATAGGATATCTGTGCACTGCCTACCACAGGTATCGAACCCTGGATTCTAGCGTTGTAAGTCCGCAGGCATACCGCTGTGCCACTGGGGGGCGACTGTACAATCTGTTTGTTTGTTTGTAATTAAGCACAAAGCTACACAATAGGATATCTGTGCACTGCCTACCACAGGTATCGAAACCCGGATTCTAGCGTTGTAAGTCCGCAGGCATACCACTGTGCCACTAGGGGGCGACTGTACAATCTGTTTATCATTTAAATTCCTGTTCTTTCACTTGGTCTTAATAAGACCTTATTTGTTTTCTTTTTTTATTTGGGTTTTAAACATCAATAATCTTAACTCATTTCGCTGGTCTTAATGTAGCAATCAGCTTATATTTTTTTTTACTTGATCTTAGTCTAATCACCTTGTTCTTTTATTTCATCTTTTTTTTAGGTATTACCTACTAGTGTTGTTCAAAATTTATTTTTCAACAATACTGACCAACTTACTTGTTCTGGCAGACCTTTATCCTCTTGCAATGCACCTTTCACCCAAAAGTCATAAACTCCTTCCCAAATCCCCCAAGGTCCTAAATTGTGACAGCTGAAGATAAAAGAAACAACAACAAATAACTTCAGCAACTATAAAGTTTGTTAAAACAGTTTCTGGCTCAACTTTGCTCATTTTTGTGCACCTCGATTAGTACTTGAAACATGTAAAATATATTAGTTACGTAACAAGTGGTAAAAACTGTTTGATTTTTTTTATTACAATACAACAACTAGCTTTCCTGTAGCTCCTGAATATTCAATTCTTGGGCCTTTTTTGTTCCAAGCCTTGTAAATAAACTGTATTGCTCACCATATTTTAACTAAACACAACTTTGTTGAAAAAGCTCAAATAATGTTCAAGTTTTATGCTTTGTTTTTTCTGTTATTTATACTTGCACGTTTATTTTCTTGTACACATGTGTATATATTTAATTAAAAGTCTGAATACAAATGCGAGATTTTAAACCTCATTCATGCTAATGGTTCTAATTTTTTATATATATCGAACAGCTCTGTGATGGACAACTATGGTGTTGGTTTTAGCTTAACCCAATAAGGGCCAAGTCCCAATTTTAGGATACAACTTTAAATGATTATAAATTACAAACTTCTAATTGAATTGTTTTAAACTTTGCATTGTTTTACATAGAAATGTATACAAATTGAGATTTATTAATAATCTCATCAATTGCTTCATACTTAGATTTTGTTGATAGTTGCATAATTGACTTGGCATCAGTTTTGTGTACAGTTCCCTGCCTTAGAGGATTGATATAAAAATATTTTATTTAAATCAGACAGTATTTTTCTTGTGTATATGACATCTCTAAAACTAAACACAACAAACAAAAACTTAATATTTTCAAAAAGTAGTTCTGGCCCTTAATTGATTCATATTTTGCTGTAATGCATCAGAAAACACTTAGGCTGTGGCTACAAATGTTGTATCGGCCTTGCAAAAACTTGATAGCAAAAGTAATATCTATATAAAAAAAATACTGGCAAAAAAAAAAAAAAATAAGACCCAGTTCTACAGAGTAACAAAAGACTTGTTAACAACACTTTAGCTTAAAAGTGAAAGGTATTCCAATACTAAATTTAAATCATTATTTATAACTGCTCTTACTGAGATAAAAATTCATTTACTGAAATTCACACACTAAAAAGAATTTTTCCCAAATGAAACAACTCCAAGCATAGATACAGATCTTACCTGTAAAAAGTAGAGACCTTTTTGAGGGCTGAGGTAATAGTGAATACTTCATCTTCATCCACTTCTTCACCCTGTCAAAAACAAAATTTACATATTAATTATATTGCCTATCTTAAGAATCAAATGCAATTACAACTTCACAAGAGTTATTGCATTATCTACATAAATTTTATGTTTTTTTTAATATTCATTCCAATATTCAAGAGTATACATGACTAGTATCACCTTTAATCTGTTCAACAACAATTGAACTTCACAAAGCCTTGAAAACAAAATCACTATAAATCTCAATGGCAGTGAAATATTGTAGTATGTAAATTCAATATGTAAAATGCTGTAAGTTATGATTTTTGGATTTTGAGCATTATTATGCTGATGCCCTAATGTTAATTTTTGGGCCACTAACAGTCTGAATGATTAAAATCTAAAAACTATTACAGAATTTAAAAAAAAACAATTGTATATTTCACAAAAACTTCATTTATTCAAGACCACGGTTTCACTGTGATGATGCCTTTACTGGCAAAACCACGGTCGTGAATGAACAGTTTTTGTGAAACCTACAGTTGTCTTCGTTGTTTTTTTCTTCAATTCTGTAATTATGGAGTTTCACCAAGTACCAATTATATAAAACTATTACTCAACATCAAGTTTACCAAATACAATACAAACTGTTATAAGTGGAAAACAAATCTGTGTAGATGTGTACCCGAAACTGTTTGCTTCCATTTATTGTGACTATCATAAGGTCCCTCAGTATGTATGTTCCAAAAGTAAACCAAGTTTAACAAAACTCTTGTTTCACTTGCTTTTACTGTTGGATAAACCTATACAGCACAAATATTTTTTCAAATATTGAAATTTACAAGACTCGTTTTAAGAAGGATAAAATTTGAAGTTTCAATGTTATCCTGGTTCTGCTCTGGCAAATTGTTCAGTTAAGAACTGGGTAAAATGAAAAAAATGCTTCACTACATTCAAACGATGTAGGAGACTGTTTCTTCTTCAATGTTTTTTTTTTCCATAAATTACTACTAGTTTGAAAATTGAATTAAAAAAATCTGTCTTGTGAGAAGGTACGGAGTAGATTAAGTGACAGAAAACTTAACTACTTGTGGGTTAAAAAGTGAATATCTAACACTAAAACTTGTTAAAATGACCAGGATAGGATATGAAGCAATAAACATTTTGTTTTATCTTGTTTTGTGAAAACTTGTCTTGTCGATAAGTGTACAGTGTGTGTCCAACAAAACTACAAATTATTTTAAAATAGCATTTATACTACAAAGATTAATGATTTCTTAATGTGTTTGGGAAGAAGCTGAAACAAGAAATCCCTCAACCACAAAGGTTGGTGATTCTTAGTGGGTGTGGAAACATAAACATAAAATTCCTCTACTTTACAAAATATTGTACAATTATGCTTGTTACATAAAAACTGTTATTTCCATACCTCCCAAATGTATAAAGCTGTCTTTATACAAGTTTAACATAAAAAAATTTAATGCTAATTTGAAATTACATAACTCTTTTTTCGGCAGTTACTTTTCACAAATTTGGATACGAAACTTAAAAGCCATAATGGTGTATAAAAAACACACACATACATATATATTTACATACTTACAGCTTCAACAAACTCATTTAAAGCCTGGCGATACCTATGTACCAAAGAGTCAATAAGAGTCCCCCTGGAGACAGCGCACCGAGAATGGATAGCCAGATCTTCATTACATAATGACTCGTATGTTTTAGCACAGGACTCCAAAACTTCTGTATCATTGTGTCTTTCTACAACTTCATGGATCAATTTCAATAAGCTGTCTAAATTCTAAGGTTGGAAATAAAACTGACTACAATATCTGTAACCATTAAGGAACGCTAAAGTTATCCACACAATATTTTTAATCATACAGGTAAAGAAATACTATTTATCAAAGTTTACAACAAGAAACCTGAGCACAAATTTCATTGCTAATAGAAAAGTACAAAAATAACAAATAAATATATTTGAATATTTTATTTAGTTTTTAGGATAGTTGGTGAAAAAAAGATGCGTTTTACTCGAAGCTCTCGTTCTTCTTACCAATATTACTTTATTAATTAAACCATATATTATTTACCATTAACTTGCACCATTTCTATTCAAGGAATTGTTTTTGAATGTTACACCTGGTTCCTGCTCTTTCTTCTTTATTTCAGAATTTTCATGCAAAGATACACACAGTCTATAAATAGTTGTCCCTAACTTTGAACTGATAGATCCAGAGGAGGCTGCTAGTCAACAGCACTTACAACCAACTCTTGTTCAACTAGTAGTAGTAAGCCTGGGCATTCTGATATGGGGGACAGGCTGTTGCCGACGCAACTTGCCCCCCTCTCCACCTCGATGATGGGGCCAAAGGAACAGCAGTGCTGATACAGTTTGGTGTCAACGCGGTCGCAGGAACTGCCAATACGGGGTTGGAATCAACGTCGAACTGTGGGGGTTTGAAGTCAGGGTTTTCCTTCCCCTAGATGAGCTGCCTTCCAAGGCCGTTGAGCCCCATCTGCCCAGATGCAGCAGTTAGTACCACCATCATGACCGTTGGGTCATGTTGACCTCATCCTCCGGATCTGTTCCGCCGTTGTTGGTTTGAAATCAAAGTTTAGCCAACTCCCCTAATTGATCAATGAACCACCAAACCCGTTATAGTGCGGGTCACCCGCTTACGCCCTTTCACTTCAGTAAAAACACCTCTGTCTGACTAAATAGTGGAATTTAACTATCACTCTTATAGATTATCCATAGTCCCAGTGCTGAGCCTGTATCTGTGGCAATGGGATGTGAACCATGAACCTCCAGACTTAGAGTCGTACTACTAAATACCAGGCCATGCCAAGCCCCAATATTTACTAGAATTCGGCCATATAACCAAATTCGATTTATAACACACATCCTAAACAAATAAGTAAATAAAAAATAGTATTTCTTATAAATTAAGGTTTTAACCTTTCAACAATTTGTTTAATCTGCAAATATTTGATAAGATACGTTAGGGAGCAAAAAAAAACCCTAAACTTACGGTAACTTTGAACTATGTGTAAACAATAAAATGTGTTGACATTAGATGAGTGAAAACAAGTAATTTTGGCCAAAATTATTAAAAAAAGAAAAGCAACTGCTGATTTTATAACATTAAAACAGTGTAATATCTATAAACCATGTATTTTACAAAAAAAGTAAAAATTAGATTATTTGCTAGATATATTACCACCGAAGATTATGTTTTCACCTCTGTGTGTGAGCAAGATTTCCCCAAAAAATAGCTGAATAGATTTGGACGAGTTGGTATACATTTGGACTATGACCCATCTTAGAAGTTTTTTTTTTTTTGAGAGTCAAGATCACAAAAAAAGGTCATAAAAAATCCACAAAATCCCCATCTGTTAATATCAGAGCCAATTTTTCACAGTTTTTGCTCTATAACTCAGTCGAAATTGATTGGATTTTGATGAAACTTGGTAGACATTATTCTTCATTGTCCTGCCAAAAATGGTCCATGTCCACTGATAACGACAGACATATGGACACATGTACGTATTTTTTTGAGAACCAAATACGAGCAACACTGTGCGACAGAGGTATGCACTCTACTGAGTGCCCCTCTAGTGTTAGGCTAATGATCGACTCATTTTGAATGAGTGGGTAATATGTTTATATGTATATACATTCTAGATAAAATTAAAAGCCTTCTGATCTTTTAGTTGGTTGATCTCATAAATAACAGCATTATTAAAGAGATGTAGCTAAACTTCAGAGTTGTAACTGGATTTATGTTTTTCATTATGACCTTAATCCCATCTGGGATGGGTTAGCCAACATAGTTGTAAGCCAAGAATTTTACACCCGGCTGGCTAGGATGAGCAGGTTCACTGATAGGGAATAAAAGTCACGACCCTCACATTGTAAGTTGAGCACCACATAACCACCAGTTGTATGTGCATTTGTTTAGTTAACAGTCATTACTAACAATTCATATCCGAAGGGAAAACTAATAGAAACTCTTTGCAGTCTTAAGAGACTATATAAACTTCTTACCTTCTCCTGCCTACTGGTGGTGTAAATCTCCAGATCAAAGTACTGAGGAATGACCATAAGGTTGGCAATTTTCTCATGATCAGCAATATATTTAGCCAGAAGGTGTGGCAATGTTTGGATGAAGTGCTCGGTCAGTCGTATTCTGTCATCTGCTATTTGCTTTAGTTCCTTGGCTGAGAGTTGCTGTAAAGAGTTTTTTCATCAGATTATTAAAATAAAACTTTGTGTTCACTTTAACCTGTGTATAATACCACGTATTATATGTACAAAGCTTATGAAAAGTACAAAAACTCTCAGCATAAATATCAAAAATAAGGGTGTGCACATTATTATTAATAAAAACAAGAGTTCTCTTTACTTCAAACCGTATGTTATAATTTCAAGATTTGGCCACAAAGCTGACTTACATAAATAACCCAAAACTGGAAGTGATTATTGTCCATCAGTGGTAGTAATCTAATGCAGTGTTACTCAATAACAAACAGTAATAAAAACACGCATCAAAGAGCAATTATACGAAACTATGGAGGAAACAGATTATTGAGTTTATAGTCTTATTAATTAAAAACAGGGGATACAAGAGTGAATTTTACCCAATATCCTTCATACTGCACGACATCATTTGCCCCCGGGACATTAAGTTTCATTTAAGAATTCTACAAAACTTGGACCTAATCTTTCACATCTACAAAAATCCTGCTAATGTGTTAAACAAGATGAATAACAGAAGAAACCTCACCTTCCGATTAGGCCCTCTGCCAACAGGAGGCTCCCCAGTGGCTGCCTGTTTCACGCAACAAACCATGATTTCAATGAGTGAAGTTTCCTGGCGATCATCCAGTGGCTCTTCTTGAGGTCCCGGGTCTTCTAAAAGCAGGTCTGTCATACATTCCCAGTCTTTCATCATCGGATTACTTTCTATCAAACTGTCCACTAAATATGCTCCATGTTCATGAAGCTACATCATAAAATTCCAAAGTTGTACTATCAACACAATGACAGTCATATCACATGAAGCATTAAGTTGAAATTAGTTACTTGTCTCTATGACCATTCTAATGGCATAATTTTGTTTTTGCTACCTAACACGTTAATGGGAAATCAGATGATTTGCCCTCACATCTGAACAGTCAAATACAACTACAAGTCAGTGGTCTGATCTCAGTTCCAAAGGGCTAATAATGGAAATCTTGATTATTAAAATATGTAATATTCCAAAAATTTATTGATTTCCAATCACAAAATAACTATAGCTAATTTCCTATTCCAATTTTAGCTGCGACATGGTGGCTCATAGAATGGCTCTGAGTTTTTTGTTTTGTTTTTCAAGTGTAAACTTTTAGCTCATAGCTCCATCATCTCTTGACTGATTTAAGATCTAATTACAGTTTTGGACTCAGGAGGTCAAACCCTTTTGATTGATGTATTTGACCGTGCCCAAGGTCTCAGATAAATTTACTGTAATCGTGGCTAAAAAGAATTTCAATTTGAGGGTAGGCTGGTAGAGATCCCGATGAGTAATAAAATCGAATCGGTTATACGCGCTCCCCACGCTTGGTATTGCTGGCATACAAAAATATAGCTTATAAAAATGAAAAATAAGGTTTCATAGATTAATTTACTCTAATTCTGCCTAAAATAATTTCAAGTGCCACAGCTATTGAGGATTACCCTGTTTTTTTTTAGTGTAAGTTTCTTGATTGTTCTAGAAGAAGTGTGGTTACGGCAGACATTAACTTTAGTACTCTCCTAAATTTACCACTGGATTTGTGGATTTTATGGTTTTAACATTACTGCTTGTTACTTACTTCGCTTTCAATAAAAAACTGTACTAAATCTCGGATCAAAGGTGTATTTATGGATCGCTTCTTTCCTCTCTTTGTGAGCAAACCCTGAACAGCTTCCTCATCCGGTTGAAACAACCGTTCATTTAAGAATTCCCCAGCAGCTTGGGCAATGGCTCGATGAGAAGAGTACACCAGTTCATAAACATGCTCACAGTCCTTATCAGTCAAGATTTCACGGTGATACCTAGAAACCCATAGAAAAATAATTCAACGTGTATATTTCGTTCTTGTTTTATGTCTAAGAATGAGTGACTGACACACTATCCTCACGGGTTGTTTTCAATGACTAGGTAAAACATTTCAAAAATTAACTACAATTACTCACATTTTTGAGAATTTTACGTTTAATATTTTCTCCCGTGATACGATTAATATTTTTACTTACTTGTGAATATTAATGACTAGTTTCACAGCATGAACAGCAACGTCATACTCTTTGTCTAACGTCATTGCAACAATTCGATCCTGGGTAAAAATAAAACACACACAAAAAAGTATATCACAACAAGAACAAACTTATATTACATGGAATGAAAGTATCTCGAACATCTGAATCTCAAGACTTAATGTTAGCTAGTTAAAATAAACTGAGTTTTAATCCCAAGAGAGTTACAAAGGCCTAAGATCTTTATTTTTAATCATGATCATACCAGATATATGTATGATCAGACGTCTTTTACACATCTGGCACAGGGGCAGACCTTAGGCCTAAATGCCTAGTCATCTCCCAAAAAAAAAAGGGGGGGGGGTTCAATTCATACCAATATTATAAATCAAGCGAAAGCATATGTATGATCAGACGTCTTTTACACGTCTGGCACAGGGGCAGATTTAAGCCTAAAAAAGGGGGGGGGGCGGGTTCTATTCATACCATTATTATAAAACAAGCAAAACCAAATAATTTCAACAGATAGCAGAATAAACTGATAAACTTATTAAATAAAATAAAATATAGTAGAGTTAAAGTAATTTATTTCTAAAAAACATGTTATATATATATATATACATATATATATATATAGTAA